CTTGGAATAGCTGGGTATTAATCTGGATACCGACACCATGACAGCAAGCCTACCACAAGATAAGCTGGACAGGATATTAGCCTTAGTGTTAGGACACTTAAGCTATGCCTGTAAGGTCATCATTCCCGGCAGATCCTTCATTTCTCCCCTGTTGGATATACAGTAGAACACGGATATAACGAACTACTAGGGACCAGAGAAATCAGTTCGTTATATCCGTTGTTCGTTATACACGTTTTTTCAGTTTTCGATTTACATACGAAATGTGTAGTCTGTGATTTTACTTTGGCCTCGTTTCGCTGACTGCATTCTTGAAAGGGCATCGTTCAGATCCGCCAAACTGTCAAAAACTGTTTGTTTTACAGACAAGATTACATGTACAGGTAAGATTAACACAATGCAAATTTAACAAGGTTGATCCGTCACCACTGATTGTATTGATTCGCCGCCATTGTTTTGATTCGCCGCTGATTGCATACAGCCAATTGTCAGTGACACTTAACACTGAGTGAGATTTCTCAGTTCGCTATACACATCGCTAATTAGTGATAAATGGGCTTGTCGGTGATCAGGTATCAGTTCGCTGTATCCGTTAGTTCGCTATAGAGAGTTCGTTATATACGTAAATTTTATATGATATTATATAGGAGATAAATCAGGGATTTTTTAACAGTTCGTTGTATCCGTTTGTTCGCTATATCCGTGTTCGTTATATCTGTGTTCTACTGTAGCCAAATCAGTGAAGAAACTGCATCACCAGATACATTTGTCCACGGCATGCCAACAAGATCTTTCTCCAACAGTGGAATGGCGTGGACTTGCATCCACATTGTTTGGATTCGGCGGATACTTTCAAGGATACTTTTTTCAGAGAAGTGGCCGGAAATCTTACCGACAGACTTAAGTGTCGAACATTCCCTCGCCTTTCTTGAACTGTATTCCATTGTGATAGCATCTGTTATTTGGGGACATAGGTGAACTCAGTTAAGAGTGTTATTCCATTGAGACAACCAAGCTACTGTACATATCATTTGGAAAAAGATATCTAAATGCCCCAAAATCATGTCTCTCATGCATACTCTAACGTGGACAGCAGCTAAAGGAAATTTTGTAATATTAGCTAAGCATATCCCTGGGGTTCACAATATTTTAGCTGATGCTCTTTCTCATTCACAGCTGGACCTGTTCCGTTCCTTAGCCCTGGCAGCCAAGATCGAACCGACACCGTGCCCTCCAACTTCTCAAATCATGTGGAATTGACAAGGCACCTGAACATATTGTGGTCACCAGCTCTTCCCCCACATACAAAGGATAGCTATGCTACAGGCATTCAGAGCTACATCAACTTCATGATAAGTGTCCATCTGTTCTCTCAAATCTGTTCTCTCGAATCCCAGGACTCACACTGCTACATGAGAGCTGTGTTCATTTTTTTCTCGCCCACTGCTTTGGCATTCTCAAGTTATCTTTTACTACTGTCAAAACTTACCAAGCATCAGATACACTTACGTACAAGCTTGAATACCAACACTCTTCGATTCTGCTGACTCTGGCGCAAATGCATGTATTCAAACTCTTTTGCGGGTATACAAGAACCTACAAGCCCCTTGTAAAAACAAGAGACTACCTATCACTTACAATATTCTGTGTCAAATCATCACTCTGCTGAAGAACGGCTCTCTGGGTCCTTTTAATGAATTTACCATGGTTACAATGTGTACTGTTGCCTTCTTCGGCTTTCTCAGATGTGGCAAGTTCACCAGTTCAGACAGTTTTGATGCAGATGTCAATTTATGTGTCGGAGATGTCATCTGTGATAGTAACAGAAACAGGTGTATCCTCACTTTGGAAACTTCCAAAACGGACCCGTTCCGACAAGGAGTGGCTATTTCCCTGTTTGACACAAACCAACCAGCATGTCCAGTTAGAAGCTTCTCACAACTGATTCTCATTGGACACAGGTTGTTGGGCACAGGCTCCTGATCCCCTCTTTGTGGACAGCTGTTTCCATGCTATTACGAGAACATCCTTTTCTAAAATGGCTGAACATTATCATGTGTCAGATAGGCTTGAGTTCCAAATCCTATTCAGGACATTCATCCAGGATTGGCGCAGCTACCACAGCTGCACAAGTGAGAATGGAGGACCATCTCATCAAAACCCTAGGGAGGTGGAGCTCAGACTACTTCACCAGGTACATTCAAACCCCCAAAGCTACTCTGAGACAAGCACAGATCTCATTGTGTAATGTATAAATGTTTAACCAACTGAGTGCGTATCTTTATGCAGTGATCCCTCGCTACAACGCTACCTTCAGGGTCCAAATAATTGATGAGCGTTATAGATGATCAGTGGTTTAACGGAGGTGGTCTATCCTGTGTGTTAGTTTCACAATCTTTCCAGCTGCTGAGTCCTGTCCTGGAAATGTATGCTATAGTCTTTCTTGTTTTGAGGTTCACTTGTGCATATGTGTTGTTGTTTATGGCCACACTGTAAATAATTGAGTCTGGGCCTGACAAACCAGTGATTGATATTGTGAGCAACGATTCATGCCGTTGGTTTAAGTTAGCAATCAACCAAGCCGTGTGTGTTTAATCATTAATCAGTACTGTGCCAGCATCTCTTAATTGATAAGATGCCCCCAAGTAGGTCACTGCCTGATCAAAAACAAATCCCAATAACAATCAAGGTGAAGTACACATTGCATACATTGGATTATTGATCCATTGATTGACGAACCTCATATTGCTTCATATTTCCTTTTTTGATAAACTCTTTTATACGACTGCTAACCTATCAGACAGGAATGGTCAGTAGAAGAATGCCATGTTATTTCACTAATGGTTAATCATTATTGTGAATCTGTTGTAAAGATTCCTTCATTGAGGTAGCATTGTAGTAGTATTTGGGTTGTATTGCGGTAGTATGAACAGAAACTGTATTGGGCATCGTGTCAAAGCCAATATGCCCATTCTGTGAGCCTGTGTATGTGAGGGAGACATTTAGTTGTTTTTGGGAGTGAGGATTTTCTGGTGATGTATATATTTTGTTTAAGTATACTAATTTTATTCAATGTAGAAGTTTTTTTAGGGGATCTGGGATGCTAACTCTAAACGTATTTCAAAATCATAACTCACATGTTTACAAAAGAATTGCGTCACGGATTATTGTATGATCTCACTCTTGCATGTTACTTTGGTTACACACGCATATATAATGCTGTATACACATGTATGTTACACTGGATACACATGTATGCTGTTGGTTTCATATGTATGTTACCTTGGGACTCTTGTATGTTACATTAGGCTGACATGCTGGGTACACATGTGTTACGAATGTATGTGACGTTGTGTACATATGTATGTGACGTTGTGTATCTAATAAGGATCGTCATTGATACATCTTTCCATTAAACATCAGTATTTGATAAATGGTTATCCCACTGATGGGTACTGTCTTCATCTTTTGGTTCAGGCGGGCACTGGGTATGGGTGATGACGTGCATGCTGGTCAGTGGCCAAGCTGAACCCATCACCCGGTTTAAGGACTACCTGGAGATGCCCCCTACTGAAGACCTTGACAATCAACCCTCACCCTTTACTAAAATTCTTAACTTTAGTTGGGCTACCAGTGTTCAAATCAGTTCGAGGAGGGCAGGCTGATGATGAATTCTGTATTTCAGTACTACCTTGATATTATATTTTGGTACACATATTTCTTTTTTGTGTTTCGTGATGATGTCATTGCCGATGGAAATTGTTGATCTGCACCTCTTCTTGACGCACTTCCATGAAATCCAATCGTTCTGTTTTCACTTAAACAGGAATTCGTCTAAACACAGATACCGACCTCCGTGTGACGTTGGAACGAATATATGACGTATCTGTTGACTTGCCATCGTTGAAAGTAACAGTGTCTCAAAATTATTTCGGCATTTATACCCCAACAACCATCCTCCCAAGGCAATGGAGTTAACTGACTTTAAAAGTCCAGTTTCCACCCTTGCCGAACTAGGCTGGAATTCCTGGGCTCGATCGTAGCACCACCAGTGGTTATTACAAGTTATGTCCCTTATAAGCCTCTCCTATGAACCAATCAGATTCCACCTCTCGTATCACTTGCATTTGTTCCACACCAAATCGCGGCGCCAAGTCAAGACGATCTGATCGATAATCAAGATCTTTTTTGTGATAACAAGGGTCTTACCTCGCGAAGTGCATCAACTCACGTGAGCAACTTGATTAAAAACATGAAAAGACTTGGAAATATCTGTTGACAACAAGTTGGCAGGGCACATGCTTTGCAAATCCTGCAATCGACCAAAATCTGCACGACAGTTTACTAACCAGATTTCAATTTCGGTGCGCGATTTTGATTGGACTATGCATAGACTCGTTAGTCTAGCCAAAATGTAACTCCATAATACCAGCCTAGTTTGGCAAGGGTGGAAACTGGACTTTTACAGTCAGTTAACTCCCTTGCCTCAGGAAGATGCCCAACAACCAAAGTGAGTTAACTCACATTACCAACAGTCATCACATCAGCATTTTATTTGAGTGACAATGTGAGTTACTCATATAAATATACCTGTAGTTGAGCTCACTGATTGATCGTGTGAGTGAGCTCAAACTGAAATAATGTAATCTCTATTTGAATCATATTTTCGAAACTCGGTTGCACTTTTCAAGTTTTAATCCCCTATAACATCACATTACCAGCAGGCAACATCAAAGCAATTTATACTTTAATCACAAAGGTCAATCCTCCGGTAAGACACAGTTTACGACTTGGGTGAAACCTGCCAGCGTGCAAACCTAAAAAGACAATCGGGGCTAACCGAGATTCAATGACGATGATGTTGGAGATTTTTAATGAGTGCTTCCGGGTGTGCCGATTTCTTACTCAGGATTCAAGAAGATCTTGCATAGACTAGATGGGAATATTAGGATAACAGATATACACTGTTCAAGTATTACTGTCACATACTTTTTTAACAGGATCCAGTGGCAGCTGTGCAGGCTTTATCTGACTTTTTGGGACTACAGAGGAATGATGCCCTGTGCTGTGCAATTGCTGAAAAATGCCACTTCTCCAATATGAAATCAGCCGAAGATGCCCATTCAATGAAGATTGATGGTGCAAATTATCTTTTTGGGAAAGGTATGCTTTTAATTCCATTTTTTCCTGTTTTGATATACTATTAGTGGGATATGAGAGGAAAGCCTGATGTGATGCAGGTTTTACAAATTGTGGCACATCAGACAACTTGGTCACCTTGTTCTCTTTAATATACTCGTTGTGTCAACGTCCTACATTTGCCGCCATCAGTTACGACTTGGCTGTCCCAATACGATGGAGGGACTGATAACTTTCATATTTGTGTGTAAAAGCAAAACATAATCACTGAGGTTACATTTATATACCCAAATTCATATTCTGACACCATTAAGCCGTGGGTTTCGGAAAGAAAAGAGTGCGTTAAGATTTAGCACATAGGCAATATTTCAGCCATATCGGGACGAGATAATGAAAAACATTGACAATACGCTTTTCATTATCAATTATTGACTGCATGAAAAATATCAATAAATCTCACTTTTCTGCTGCGTACAACATTCCCGCTCTCGTTCACTCATGGATTCGAAACCCCGATAGGCCCAAGTATTATCCTTGCTTTGTTAATACCACACTGTGATTGTAGGCTTCAATAAAATGTAATCTCCATCACTTCGGGATTTCCTCCCAAATTGAGCAGGCGCACAGTGATATAACTGAAACACTGTTCATGCTGTTATGATATTAACTTAAGAGACTAAAAGAGATTGTTTGACTCAGGTTTTCTGACTTTTGGACTGTGAATATGACCTGGATAATTATGTGTCATCGTAAACTGACAGCTGTATCGTTGCTCATGCTATCAACCACTAGGATTTCTACCCAGATGTTTATGTCTAGGCTGTAGTGATATACCTAGGGTATTGGTGATTATATTTTGTCCATCTTTGGCTTGTCATGCAATCGGTAATGTTCCAACAATATGACAGCTGCCTGTTAATAATTGAGTCTGGACCAGACAAACCAGTGATTGGTATTATGAGCAAGATCTCAGGCAATCGGAGAAAGATGACATGCAATCAATGGCATTACCGAACCTTATCGCCCAGTCCATTAAGTCATCTCGTACAATCAGCATAGGTTGCTGGAACCTATTTATCCCGGAATCCTCAAATGTTAACCATCTTGAGGAAAACGCTACATGACCTCATCTCACTTCTTGCAGGCGTCTCTGGTTCTCTGCTTCCATGCTGGACAACTAGTACAGGGTCTATGAGGAGTAGATGAAAGGATCCAGATTCTACGAGCGGTACAACAGAGATAACGATACACCCTTATGCAAGGGTGGGAATGGCATGGTTACTGTGCTATAAATAAGCAAAACTTTATAAAACATATTTGATAAATTTAGATTAATTCTAAATGATTTTTTTTGTAAATATAAGATCAAAATTATATGGGTATGAAACATATGGTGACGAAAAACGTTGGGCTTATTGTTCTTACTCAAGGCAGCTTACAAGAATGGCATAAATACTCCACAGCATGCTTGTATTTATTTGATAAGGTTCTTTGACCAGCCCACTTTTGTTCCAATCATGATACGTAGTCTGTCAGCCTCATACCAGTGGTCATGCATTTCAATAGGGAAGCCACTACAAGCCTCTTAGAGAAACGAGAAGCCCAGTCGTCTAAGGCACCACAATTCATGGGTTTCACCAAAGTGGTAAACGGCTTTCCTCCCACATTAAACTGACACTTCTCGATATAACTGGAATACTGTTGAAAGCCGTGTTAAACCCAGCTCATTACCAACCTCTTTCACTTTGAGCAGACGCACTGTGATATGACTGAAACACTGGCTAAAGCAGAGTTAAACTCGGCTCACTCACTCACTGATTATGGGAATAAAAAAAAAGACAAAATTGTGCCTAAAATATAATTGTATTTATCAAGTGAAAAAAAACTTTTCATAAACAAAGCTAATTTTACAGAGTAAATGTAAACCCAAATAAATTATGTGTCACTAATTTTAAAAAGAAAACAATTACGTTGTTCAAAACTTAAAGTGGCCTCCACCTCCCCATATAGCCACACCTTCACCACCAAAACATATCCACTGAAATAAAAAACAGTAATCATGGTAATTACTGGCAGTTCAAATAAACAACAGGCATTCTGCACATTGTTGATATACTTACCATGCAGATTATACATGTTGTGTGTACCTCTTTAATGTAATATTTCAAATAGAATATCACATGAACAGAAGTGAAGTAAACATGACTGGCTGACTGCAGACTTTTAAAGTTATTTCTTTTATGAAATACTTATCAATGAACATTAGTGATTCATTATGACTGCTAAGTTGTTCAGTAAAACCATATTAATGACAGATTTGTATTAACAAGAACACCTCACCACTCCATATGGCTTACAAGTTCGAGAGACATTTACAGTACAGGAAGAGGGACCAAAATGCCAGGTGTCCTCCAACTCTGCTAACACCTAATTCTGGATAGTTAACAATATAATATTATTTGTTTTGTTGTTACCTCACTACTAATGGAATTGGATCTTGGAGAATCTTGGTAAACAGTGTTTATTCAGAACCATTTATTTGTGTTATTTGGATAACTATGTCAAATGGGAATCATACTGACTGATTCTCTCCCCAGTGACAGTCCTTTGTGTGGCCCAGTGGCGTTTGTCATGCCAGGACCTGCCTGTCACAGGTTCAAAGACCACTCTTGTTCAAATCATGATACTTAGCCTGTCAGAACAATACCAGTGCTCATGCATTTCGTTAGTGGGAAACCTCTACAAGCCTCTTTCACTCTGAGCAGATGCAGTGTGATATGACTGAAACACTAGCTAAAGAAGAGTTAAACTCAGCTCACTCACTCACTGATTAGGGGAATAAAAACAAGACAAAATTGTGCCTTCAAATAAAATAATATTTATTAAGTCCTTAAAAATTAAGTTGTCATATTAAATGTGTCACATATTTCAAGGGGAAAACAAATACATTGTTTTACACTTAAAGTGGCCTCCACCTCCCCTTATAGCCACACCTTCACCACCAAAACATATCCACTGAATTAAAACAGTAATCATGGTAATTGCTGGCAGTTCAAATAAACAACAGGCATTCTGCACATTGTTGATGTACTTACCATGCAGATTATACATGTTGTGTGTACCTCTATAATGTAATATTTCAAATAACATATCACATGAACAGCAAGAAATGTGTTTTTCAGAATAAAAACGATGTTTTATTGGTCTGTTTTCAGTCGTACAAATGGGTATCTCTCATACCCTCACTTCTAGTCGCACGTTTAAAAGGAAGCCAGAAGCTGGAATGTAAACATTAAACTTGTTTCCATCCGGTTGCGCACGCACCTCCCTATGACATGTCACAAATCTCGAAGAATAAGCCATCATTCAGGACTGGACTGGATTACTTCACTGTAGGGATGGCTGGACGGGAACGTACGACTGAAAACAGACCAATAAAACATCGTTTTTATTCTGAAAAACACATGTTTTAGTCTGTTGTCAGTCATACGAATGGGTAGAATTCGACGGAACACTGGAAGGAGGGTCGGGAAAGTAATCAGGAAGTGACCTCTTTCACGTCAAATGTACCAAGTTCCTCACCCCTGTAGTGACAATAGAACGGACGAGACAAGTTGTTTATCACGAATGCACAGCATGGTTAATGCTCTTCGACACAACTAATTATTGATGCGACAGAATAACTGCATACGTCAGTTGAACTGCGATCGAAGTGTGGTCGGCGCATAATTTAGTTACAGAGCAACTTGCCGTATACAAGGTAACTAAAAATAGCATGGTTAATGCTCTTCGACACACAACTAATTATTGATGCGACAGGACAACTGCACATGTCAGTTGAACTGCGATCGAAGTGTGGTCGGCGCATAATTTAGTTACAGAGCAACTCGCAGTATACAAGGTAACAAAAAAATACGAGCAGTACTATAAAGTATGGGAAGACGATGCATACACCGAATAACCATAATAAAAAAGTACTGCACACAACAAAAAACCATAAGTATGCGTACATTCACCAACAGCTTTTATTGTAACATGTTATATGGCACGAAGTGTCGAGAAAAAGTGAATAGAGCACAAATTCACTGTCTTTTCTGGGAGGTCTGTTGTGCCACCACGTATGGACAAAACTGTTTGAGTCCTTCAACATCTTCTGTTGAGATATCTCTGAGATAATGCGAAGCAAACACTGAAGAAGATCTCCAAAAGCAGCCCTCCATAATAACTTGCAGAGAGCAATTACTGTGGAGTGCTAATGTTGAAGCTATGGCTCGAACTTCATGCGGGTGAGAGGAGGTGGGAGGTGCGAGTCCTTGCACCTCGTAAGCTCTGAGAATTACCGCTCTCAACCAAAAGGAGAGAGTATTACGTGTAATCTCTTTCTTTGCATTGGTTAAGAGCGGTACGAACAGCCGTTGAAAATGTTGTCGTCGCTGTTCAGATAGCTGCAGGTAAGTACGAAGCGCACGAACTGGGCACAGGGTGAGATCAGCGTGATCATGAGGGCCCTAATGGCAGACAAGGAAGGAATGTGGAACATTCTCGAATCTTGGCCAGGAAGTTGATTTTTCGCTTAAAAATCCCATCTGAGACCAAGATGGACGTTGCCATGGTTACGCTGATCGAACGTAATCCGACTGATGTCAATGGCATGTATTTCCGATACTCTTGCTGCCGTAGCCAGCGAGAGAAGGAAAGCCGTATTCTGAGACAATAAGTCGAATGCGACCTCGTAAGTCTGACTAGACAGGTTGCGCAGAACGACATTGAGGTCCCAGGCCGGCGGTCGGAATTTACATGACTGATCTTCAACCATGAAGGCACGTAGAATCTTCTGCGACTCCGGTACTTTAGTGAGCTTGTCACCCGATAAGTCGAGATCGTCGGCCCTTTCAGACGCCGAGATGACCAGAGATAGACTACCGCCGGGTTGAAGCCACGAGACCTGGTGAAAATGGAGAAAGTGGTCCACTTGTCATCGTACAGCTTACAAGTCGTAACTCGATGTGCCGACGAGACAAGCGCTGCCACTTTAGCCGAATATCCTTTCTTCATTAACGAGGTCTTAAGCAAACCCAGGCGTGAAGCTGGAAGTTCTTTATCCCCGGATGCAAGTCATCGGTGTGAGGATGAAGAAGGAGGTCGTCTCGATCTGGCAACGGGAACGGTGGCTGATCGATGATCTGAAGAAGTTCTGGGAACAACGTTCTGGCCGGCCAATAAGGTGCGACCAAAAGCAGACATAGGTTGGCTGTTTGACGAACTTTCTCCATTATATCCATGGTAACAGCACCGTTGGCGGAAACGCGTAAGCGTCTAGACCCTCCCATCATATCGCTAGAGTGTCGTGGTCCCATGCCCGTGGGTCTCGAACCGGCGACACGAATCGAGGGAGGCGGTTGTTGTACCGGGTTGCAAAGAGATCTACTTGGGGCAACCAGAGTTGATCTGTCAGCAGATGAAAGACTGTCGGATGGATCATCCACACTGTGGGAGACGGCCTCGATGGTCACGACAGGGCGTCGGCTAACACATTCTTGGCCCCCGGGATGTGACGGGCTCTTACCCCTCATGTCCAAGCAAGGGGGAAGAACCTGAATGTCCAGTCCGGAAGGGCCGCCGACCGAGTCGTTCCCTGTTTGTTGATGCAGTGGATGACTGTGGAACATTGTGATTGATTTACAATATTAAATGCAGAACATTATCTTCAAATATAAATATTTGATTTAAGCACTTCCATTTGTTGCACATGTTCAAGAATAAGAGTTACTGCTGCTTTCAGTGAGATGTGGGGTTATTTGTGAACCCTTGTTGCTGCTTTTGCTCTGGATTTTCATGTAACAATGTGAAAACAAATATATCCTGAACCCATATTACATTATTACAATTATATCTCATGGCCTGTCTCATGTCTACCGACGCCAGGGCATGTAGAAGTCTTGGAACGCTGCTGACAATCTTGTCCCAACAGTCTTGAGGTACCTTGACCAGATTGACCCCTGTCTGGAAGCGTATCCCGATGTACTGTAGATCCCGAGTTGGTACCAAGTCCGACTTTTGAAGGTTGACGATCCACCCGAGGTACCGTAGTAGACTCAGGGTGGTCGCTAACTCTCCTTGAAGGGCTTCTGTGAACTGGTGAGCGTGGAGCCCGTCGTCTAGGTAGAAGGCGACCCCGATTACCTGCCGATGGAGGCATTCTACGACCGTCTTCATGATCCGTGTGAAAATGAGCGGGGCCGTAGAAATTCCAAACAGGAGGGACGCCCACTGGTAATGAATACCTTGGTAGACGAATCAGAGGTACTTCTGGAACTCGGAAGCTATTGGTACATGGAGATA